AAACACTGTCAGAAAGTGCCCTGACCTCTAAGCCTTTCCGACGTCAATTTGAGGTGGTCGTTGAGGGATCCCTTTGTGCAGACGCGAGCCGATTGTAGCGCCGCGATTCCACGGTCCGGTCTTCGTACCTCGTGTATGTATCCCCCCCCCCCCCCCTGCATCCGCACTATCACCACAGGCGGCTGCACCCTCCTTGCCACCTCCCTGCACTCGCCCCTGTCCCCACACTGTCCGTCAGGCCCGCTGTACCCGCCTCTTTCACACCGCTTGGGCTCGCCTCTGCTACCAATCACAGCAGAGTGGGCGAAGGGGCGGGGGCCGAGGTGCAATGGCGGCGCCTGACCTCCTGAACAGCCGTCTCATTACCTAGACCGGCCGGACCCATAGCGGCCGCAGTCAATACCGGCTTACGAGCCGCCCGAGCCGGGGAAAGGCCTCGGGCTGCGTCACAGCGGACGGTCAGACGGGCTCGTCACACGAACCGCTGGAAAGAGTGCGTCACAGTGGCCCACCAGAGAGGTCCGTCACGATAGGCAGTCACAGCGGCCAGTGACGGATTTTCGTCACAGCGGCCTGACACAGCGGCCTGTCCGGGTCAATTTGTTGCGGGGATTTGTTTCTGTGATGGAATGCAGTAGCCTGTCACAGTGGTCAGTCATTCCTTCGCAGGTTGGTCACAGCGCTACGCCACAGTCCTTCGCAGCTGCAGTTGCCTTTCACAGCGGCTCATTACAGCGGCCCGTCACGGCCGCCCGCCAAAGCAACTCGTCACACTGGCCTGTCACAGCGGCCCGTCACACCCGTCCGATACAGTGCCTCGCCACAGTGGAATGTCACAGTGTGCGCCACATTGGCCTGTCACAGCCTCCGTGACGCACGTTACATTGCATGTTGCGTTACCCACCACAACAGCCTGACGCCATGTCCGTGACAGCGTCCCGTCACAGTGCCAGTCACAGCGTCCCGTTACAGTGCCAGTCACAGCGTCCCGTTACAGTGCCAGTCACAGCGTCCCGTTACAGTGCCAGTCACAGCGTCCCGTTACAGTGCCAACCACTATGTCCTGTTACAGTGTCAGTCACAGCGTCCCGTTACAGTGCCAGTCACAGCGTCCCGTTACAGTGCCAACCACTATGTCCTGTTACAGTGTCAGTCACAGCGTCCTGTTGCAGTGTCAATCACAGCGTCCCGCCACAGTGCCAGTCACAGCGTCCCGTCACAGTGTCAGTCACAGCGTCCCGTTACAGTATCAGTCACAGCGTCCCGTTGCGGTGTCGGTCACAGCGTCCCGTGACAGTGCCGGTCACAGCGTCCCGTTACAGTGCCAGTCACAGCGTCCCGTTACAGTGTCAGTCATAGCGTCCCGTTACAGTACCAGCCACAGCGTCCCGTCACAGTGCCGGTCACAGCGTCCCGTTACAGTGTCAGTCACAGCGTCCCGTCACAGTGCCAGTCACAGCGTCCCGTTACAGTGTCAGTCACAGCGTCCCGTCACAGTGCCAGTCACAGCGTCCCGTCACAGTGTTAGTCACAGCGTCCCGTTACAGTGTTAGTCACAGCGTCCCGCCACAGTGCCAGCCACAGCGTCCCGTTACAGTGCCAGCCACAGCGTCCCGTCACGTATTCGTCGCATAGGCCCGTCACATGGTTGTTTAAAGCAGCCTACCACATGCGCAAAGTCTGTTACATATTCCGCTGAAATGCCATTGCAGAGTTCGTTACAAGTTCCGCGTAGGAACGGACTCCGGCGCATCAAGAGGCCTTGTCGGCGGGTCGCGGCATGAAAGATCATTCCGCAGCCTGCTTGCCAAAAATTTGAGAGCGTTGTGATAAGTGTCGTCGTCGTCACTGTGGCTGTGCGACGCACCCAGCTGCTGAGGCTATATGGCGTCGCCTGCGTCTCACCCTGGCGGAAAGGGCGACCACCGTGGGCATCGAACCCAGTTCCTCCGGTTTCCCAGACGCGCAGTGGTTAACGCAGACGCGTTAGCCACTCGACTGCCGGCACGCAGCTATGATGAGTGTATAACATGAGAATATTACTTATACCTTTTCGTTATTCTGCTAGTCAATTTTGATTCACATCACGTCATTCAAATGCAAATTTCGGGCCTGTTTTGCCAGAGAGCCGCTGTCAGGATCACTGGAATTAGTTGCTAAAATTACCATTTCTTTGTTGTCGCTCTTCTCAAACTTAAGCCACGATTTAGCTCCCACTTCATTTGGGCAAATGTGCATTTTAGAAACGTCGGTTACTGTAAATGACTGTGGGAGGCCGAGGGGACAGGCCGACAGTGAAGCCTATCCCGAAATGTGAGTTTCTGGACGGAATTAACCCACTTCATTTCGGCAAACAGCTATTTCTGTGTCTAATTTGTGTGTAATTTACAACATATTTTTTTGCCGAGCAGCGTTCTGGTCAGGGCCGGCAAACAATGCCCATGGAAGGTAGTTTTTTTCATGATAACTTGATTTTACTTTTTTGGGACGTTCCTGCCAAAAATATTGTGGGACACAAAAAATTCCGATGAGGCCCAAACCAACATGGGGCCAGCGCCCTCTCAAAAGCATATAAAGTACCAGCTCTATTACAATCAACATTTCATTAAGCCGCTTTTCTGAAAGCAAGGCTGGTTTAAGCCAAGGCTCCGTGTCCAGTCACTTGGGTTAACGTAAATTCGATTCGCGCTGCTTTGCTTGCTTATGTCTTCTGTAATCCGACGCTAAACAGTGTCAGAGTGCTCAGACCCAGCGAAACGAAACGCCATGGAGTGGCGAAAGGCTGAAGACATATGCCACATACACTGGGATGCAGCACGGGCGGGAACGGGACACCGTTGAAACAGAGAAACAGAGAAACAAGAAGACAGCGGTGACATACATGCAGCAAATAGACCAAACAACGCAGACGCAAGAGGCAGTACGTGCACACACGTGGCGGACACAAAAAAACACAGCGCAGTCATCGACGTCACAGAGAAACAAGGAGACAGCACTGACATAAGCTTAGCGAAGGGATCAAACAACGCAGACACAACCTTCGCTAAGACAGACACAACACGAATACATAGGTTGCAAGTACACATTGCAGCACGGACACGGACCTTCAAAGACACAGACAAAGCCGGCAGTGGCGACGGCTTCTCGGCAGCTAGGACCATGACGTGACCGGTGCCGGGCTTGTGTCGGCGACCAGAACTATCACGTGACCGGTGCCGGCCCTATGTCGGCGACCGGGGCCATGACGTGGCCGGTGCTGGCCTTGTGTCGGCGGCTGGGGCCATGACGTGACCGGTGCCGGCCTTGTGTCGGCGACCAGGGCCATCACGTGACCGGTGCCGGCCTTGTGTCGGCGACCAGGGCTATCACGTGACCGGTGTCGGCGACCAGGACCATGACGTGACCGGTGCCGGCCTTGTGTCGGCGACCAGGGCCATCACGCGACCGGTGCCGGCCTTGTGTCGGCGACCGGGGCCATCACGTGACCGGTGCCGGCTCCGTCCGTGGAATCAGCGCGGCATCTATGCAGACCGGAAATAGCCCCGGGCCTTCGGGGCGCGTGGCTGTAAAGACTGCGGACAGTGGCGGAGTTGGCCACGCAACCAGGGGGGGGGGGGGGGGGGGGCGGTGATGCCGTGACTTACGCTAGTAATCACACTGGGCTGAGGAAAGAGCTTCAGTGGCGTCATCCCACTGGAGGGAAAAATCATTGAGAATGTTATACAGTTTGCGGTTTCGTTTTCTGTGACCCGGTTTTGTTCACAGAAAATAAAAAACAAAAGCATAGACATCACGGTGTCTATGCCGGCAAGAGATAGCATATTTATGGGCGTCACTGGTGTAGGGAATGCTGAGCTGTGGGCATTATTCAGCACTTGGCGAAGCACATGACGTCACGCGGACCCCAACGCCGTAGAAAACCTCCCAGGCTCATCCTGATATGCCTGTATGGGCCATGGAAAGATGTTGTCTTTATGCTGCGGTAATGCGTGTAGCTTCGTGTTCATGCCGAGCTGGTTACGGGTAGTGAATGGCTATGTGATGATTTGGTACGTGACTGAAGTTAAGTACCTCCATCTAAGTTGTCGGTGTCAGTGTTTGTGCGCATAGGCGGATCCCGGGGGGGGGGAGGCACGGGGCCATGGCCCCCAAAAAACTCTGGGAGTATTTTTGGACCCTCTCCAAAACATTCCCAGGACCTCATAAAAGTTCCGTCTAATTACTGTCCGTTTTAACTTGTGATGGTGCGGTATCAAACATTTCTGTTGACTTGAAAGAAATATATTATGTTATGAGCTTTGTAAACATGCATACTGTATATAGAGATTCAAAAACATTTCGGTGCTTGAATGGTGTCCCTACTAGGTACTCGTGAGAGGCACCATGCACTGGACCTCGGATCCCACACCAGCCAGCTGACGACGAACGGTTGCCCCCCACCCCCCCCCCCAAAAAAAAACTCCAAGCTAGATCCGCCCCTGTGTGTGCACCTGTACTAGAGTGTATATTAGTATTAATGATACAGCCTTAGGTGCGTAATTTAACAAAAGAAGTTCGGGCGCTGAACAGTGAAAAATGACGTGACCATCCCCTGATTACGTGAGCAAGCTGGTTTCTCTCTAGGTTCACTTTCTTCTCAATGTGTGTGTGGGGGGGGGGGTCCACATTGGAACCCAGCTGAAAACAAAGCTACAATCCTCTGCGGCGTACGACGTTAGCAGCACAAATACCGGTACTGCTTGACAATGCTGTGGCTCACCGGATCCGGTGAAGAGTTCTGTCGCCAACACCAAACCCATTTTTATCCCTTTTTATCCATTTTTTTACCGCGCCATGCCATGTCATTAGTTGTACATTTTTCAAATATTGGGAACGCCTGCCCTCTGTCCACCTTCTTCCCCCCTCCCCCCCCCCCCCCATTCCGGCCGTTCGTGTTCGACAGTCGTGTCCGTCACCACGACACGACCGATGCTCACTTCTCGTCTCTGCCGGCAGGTGGCAGTAAGGATCCGACCCCTGGCGCCGGCGGAGCGGGCCCGGGGCCGTGTGGCCGAGGCCTCAGATGACAAGGTCAGTCACGCGGTGACAGGGTCTCAGTCACGTGACCGAGGCCTCCGACCGCTCTGTTGGCCGCGCATGAACGAACCACCAGCTGATTTTTTTTTTTGCATGGAAAGGGGACCGCGACGCACGCCGTCTTGCATCCTTTTTATGCAACGTCAGCGAATGCAGAAGCCGCATTAGCGCTGAAGGGCTAATTGGCAATCGGGGTGTGAGCCCGGGCTCCCCACGTGGAGGCCGAAGGCGTTAGTTTTTCGCTTATGGCGCTCATTGTTAGCTGATCATGTCATGATGCATGTCAGAATGCTATATCGAACCCGCCGAAATTTATTTTGGCAGAAATAAATAAACTCCCTACCCTTATTTGCCACAACTTATATATATATATATATATATATATATATATATATATATATATGCAAGAGAGAGAGACAGAGAGAGAGAGACGTATGTGTGTGAATAAAGCGTAGATATACGTTCTTGCTTCTGAAAAAGGCTACCTAGCTAACCTTGTATCCCGAAACACAATGCCTACCATAGAGAGCAGCCATTCACTGAGTTTGAGATCACTTCATTCGTAGCTGGCATGCCAAACAGCACCCGAAGGGAACGCGAGCTGCTTTCCCTCGTTCTGCCACCTCGCTGCGCAGATGTTAACTATCTGTGCCGCTGGCACAGCTCGGCTTAGCAAATGAAATTAAAACGTTCAACGAGCGGGAGCAATAGACGAAACCGATTTGAGCCCTAACTGACTTATGATGTACGCTGTATGCGACAATAAACAATGGCTTATTTCGGAGGCATATGACCCGCCGTGACCTTTGTGAGCATGACCTTTGTGGAATAATAACCTTAATGCTTTCCTGATGGGGACGTTGCAGAAGCAAGGCTTGATGAGATATTAATTCTTTCAGGTGAGTAAATGTTCGTCGTTATTGTGTTATCAGGGCCCATGAGGACACGCCGAATGGAAGAGCCGGCTTGCGTGAATTTGATGACTGATTAGGCGCGTCACACCTCGCTTGCAGCTGCGCATGTGAAACAAAGAATGTGAACTCGACATGTGACGTGCCAAAAGCGTCTCTCCGGAAAAGATCCACGCTCGGATACACAGCACACATCCAGCGAAGCCCGCTTAAATCGTAATTGTATCTATGAAGCGGCAGGTTCAAGGCATAAGCATGCGGCTGTGACATTATGCACACCTCACTGCGTGATGAAATAAGGACGATATCGTTGGATGACCGCCGACCGGTGTTGGGTAGAGAGTTGAAGCACCCGCTGCTTCTCAGATGGTCACGCTACAGGAAAATGACGGCGACAAAAATGACATTCTGCGGCAGAAGAGGCGACACGAGAAGCACTTCGTGTACGACTTGGCCTTTGGCGAGGACTCAAACCAGGTGAGGGGGGCAGGTGTTTGCTCGGTCGAGGTCCACAAACGCCGGAAACTATCTCCACTTTTGGACGAAGCTGAACAAATGAGTGGGTGGTCTATGCATTGATTGCAGCATTGAATCCAGTTGCGTTTGTACGTGCTTTAGAGAAAACAAAATAAAGAGTGGTTAAGTAAGTAACTACTGATTTGCAATATCATAATCTTTTGTATGTCAACGTTCCGCCACTTCACAGCAGGTGTTTGTGCCGGAGTAAGATCCTACGTTTGTATTAGATAACGTACGCGGCTGCGGACTGGCTGCCAATTTATCAGCAGTCACAGACTGGCTGCCAGTTCATCAGCAGTCACGGACTGGCTGCCAGTTTATCAGCAGTCACGGACTGGCTGCCAATTTATCAGCAGCCACGGACTGGCTGCCAATTCATCAGCAGCCACCATACCAGCCATGCGGCAGAGCAACTGATGACGTATCGAAGATACAGGCAGGCTGCTAATTTGTTAGCGACCATTACTCCACATCATCCTCATAAGGCAGAAATGCGAGTTTGTGTGCGGGTATGCTGTATAGCCATGCATTTTGCTGTCGTTGCGTGCATTGCTAACGGCCGATTTCGGGAGTTGAGCGAATCGTTTGCTTTCAGAAACAACTGTATGAAAAGACGACCCGTCCACTAGTGAACGACGTCCTGCAGGGATACAATGCGACTGTGTTCGCTTACGGTCCTACAGGTGAGCGCCAGCTGGAGAGGCCGATAACCGCAGCAATGATTGGTCTAGGCTAGCTTTACCCGCTCGCGCTCGCAGCGAACGTTCATCGAAGACATAGTCAGCGATTTTTGTAGCGCTGACTTTGGAGAGAATTTTGGAATGGCTCAGGTCGTCGAAGGAGATGGTGTCCGTTACGCTTCATCCGAAGACGTCTCGCTGCTTTCTGACCCAGAAAGTTTTATGTAAGCCCCTAACAACTTCTGATATTTTTTGCCATAGGGCTACGCTGCACGGGTTGTATATTCGCTCATAATGATGTCAGTAACGAGAGGGCAAACGTGAAAATAGATGTCTTTGTTTGCGAAAATATTGTTGGAAGTTCATTTGGCAAACATTTAATACCAAAAATAATTTGAGAGTAGACAGCTGAGATCTGTTCTGCTGGTCATGATGTTAACATTTTGTCATTAAAGGATATTAACTCTGGCAGCATTCCTGCACTAACTTCCCTACATGTACAATATCTTCAAATGCGTGACATATCACAGGTGCTGGGAAGACGTACACTATGGTAGGAACCATGGAACAGCCAGGAATCATGGTGCGCGCCCTCAACGAGTTGTTCAAGGCCATGGCAGACAAGAAAGACGAGCTCGAATTCGGGGTAAGGCACTTCTCTCTCTCCCCCCCCCCCCCCCCCGCTCCCCCGGGAGGGGTCTGTAACGACCCTCTAGCTTCACTTCGTGAATTGGAGACATTTCAGCGGCGGCTGCAGATGCTCTCAATTGCGCATTGCGAGTCAGACAATGCGTCCTCAGCGAGAAGGAAACCCTAGCTTAGAGGGTTTGGGATAAATTTGGAGGAAGGATTCTCTGACGCGAGACAACTGTGATCTGAAGCGGCTGTTAGGCCAATAAGACCGGCTGATGACTCGTGTCTGGAAAGAGCAGACCACGCCGCGCAAACGAACGCAATCAGCTGAGTGCGCTTGGCGTGCATTTTCTGTTCAGCGCTCTGGTGTCAGTTATTCTGTATCCATAAACTGTTGTCGAGAGCATTGGGCAAAAACGTCGCCATTACGAAAATGCTGCTAGTCATCGTCACAAATGTGTTTGCGAGTCGCTTTACACATGCATGTCTTATCATCCTGAACGCCGATGCAGATGACCTTGAGTTACCTGGAAATCTACAATGAGAACATCCGGGACCTCCTGAACCCGAGCAGCGGCACACTGGATCTGAGGGAGGACGCCAAGAAGGGCACCATCGAGGTCGTCGGGCTCTCCGAGGTCACCACCATGAACACCAAGGAGGTGAGGGAAGTGTCCTAGGTGTATTGTCTGTGCCTGTCGTCCCTTTGTTTTGCCATTGGTCGGCCCGTTGTCGAAAAAAAGTGAACAGGAGCTGGGAGCTGAACAAGCCGCGCTTCACTGGGCTGTTTGAATTAGTGACTTCTATGTGATGTGGGCATTCAACGCAGCAGCACAGCTGGCGCTGTACTTATTCGTAATCAATGTTCTTAGTTTCCATCGGGATCCTTCACTATATATCTTATTCTTCTCCGCTCCTTTGTTACGCCCAACATTAATGTCGTATAGCACGGCGCAGCTGATACACTTTTAGTCATGCAAGTAATGCTGCCCGATGAGGAATCCGGTCTGATCATTCATGCTAGCGCTGCAGCTCGATTCAGCGCTAATGCGCCATTGTCAGAGATGCTCACCATCCCGTCACGCGCCAGGTGATGAGGCTGTTGACCAAGGGCAATAAAGAACGGACCATGGAGTCGACAGCAGCCAACAAGACTTCTTCCAGAAGCCACGCACTGCTGCAGGTACAGGCTCGGGACGCCGTGGCTTGGAGTGTGTGGGGATCATGTTGATGGCGAGGATTGCTTTCGCTGACGCTATGTGGCTTGCCTAAACTGTAGATCGGTCCAACCCTCCAGTTTTAAGAAGGCATCTCTGAAACCGTTCAGCAGGAGGCCTTGAAACATGGGTTAGTTTTAATATTTTCAAACCGATTTCAAGCATCAGATTTCTTCTTCGTGAGGTCATGGAGTTGCGACACGGTTTTTGAATGATTCCGCGGCGAAAATACGGAAAATCGCGTTCCGCGAAAAATCCTCGGAGCCCAATGCCGTATCCTGTTTCCGAGTATTTTTAAGACGTTAGGCGATATTGTGGCGAATGCGATTGGGACCAGAACCCTTTCAAAGGTCATTCAAATCCGAGACTAGATCCAATCTTGGTGTTGATGTTAAGCTCGCCTTTGCATCCACTGTATGGTGAATAAAGTGATTGATATGGGGAAATGAGGACCAAGTGTCCCCCAAGGCAAAGGGCGTGCCAGGTCAGGTCAAGCAAATTGTCCGATGTGGTGCCAGTAGTCTTCATCACACCAACATCGTCACAGCGCTGGAGGATTAAGGGCTCAAAAATTTTCCTGTCTGATCGTTGGATAACTTTAGCCGACCTCACGCTAAGTCTCGGAAGTAAATGGTGGTATGCTTCGTCTGGCTTTGGCTGTGCGGATGCATTGAAAGCGTCCCAAGAATTTCGCCCGGTTCCCGGCGACCCGTAATCAGTCGTGTCATAAGTGGATGTAAACAAACTCTCGCAACCAATTCTCTGTGCCGAAGACATCCCATTATGTAATCGTCCACAACATCAGGAATCCAGGATACCAATCCGGGAGCCAGTAAATATCAGTTAGGCTGTTCTGCATGGCACCTGCGGTCTCCATTCCCCCCCCCCCCCCCACACACACACATACACATGGACTGGTGTGGTCGTGTCTGAAGCCGGGTCCTTCGTGCACCGCAGGTGAACGTACGCCAGCAGTCGCGGGTGCGTGACATTCACGAGACGGTCAAGGTCGGCCGACTCTACATGATCGACCTGGCCGGCTCCGAGCGGGCCAAGCGCACCAAGGTGAGTTCGCAACCCGCACCAAGCCACGATCCGTGTCTTATGGGCAGCTAGTGCTCGGCAGCCGTGGTTGAGTGCAAACGACGTGGTAGGTAACCGATGATGGCAGTGTGGCATGGCGCGCAAACAACAGTGGAACGATGATTGATGTCGCCCTGGCGACATATATCATGCCGGTCGCGGCCAGCCGTGGTCGGTATGGTGTCGTGTTGGTCGTATTTAGATATCACGAATGGCTTGACGCTGCTGTTGTAAACTTAATAGAAGAGCTGTGCCGTAAATCTTCGCACGCGTCGTGTTCAGTAAACGCTCGCATAAATACCAAACAACAATGAATCGTTGTCCTGCAGCATAACATGAAACGCTCCACTGCTCAAGAATACTTTGAAAATGTCTCATATTATGAGAATCAAAGCCTTGGTGCCATCACTCCACTGCATACACTACACATTGGAAAAAGCCAGAAGGTATTAATCGCATTCCTGAAGGCTATGACCGGATCAGCGCCGTAGCAGCAGCGGCAATAAAGACGCCGCTTCCGGCTTGTGGGGAGTTCGCATGGGGCGGGATGGTGGGTGTAATTGATGAAACGATTTCACGACACGTTAATCGCCACGGCGACATAAATCATCGTTCCGCTGATGTTTGCACGCCATGCGGCGCTACCACCATCGGTTAGTTACCGCGTCGTTTTCACTCCCGCATTTCACACGAGTCTTTTAGCTACGTACGTTGTTCTATGCATTAGCGAGGAACATTATTCGCATAGACAAGACAGAAGTATTAGCCTTATTCCTCGAAGAAAAACCAGAACAATGGAGACACAGTTGGGTTGATATTTTGGCAACATGCCTTAACGAAACAATGGCACAATGTAATTTAATTTAATCTAATGTAATGTAATTTAATTTAATTTAGATATGTAGCACATTTTAACACAAATTAAGCTTAATAGACTTAATTTAGCACTATTTAATTTGATTTACATAACAATTTAGCACAATTTAACGAAGCAATGTTTCGATGAAGGTATATATAAAGGCTAATGTTGGAAGTGGCCTGCTGTCAGGTGAACCGACCGCGCCAAACACGAACAGCCGTCAGACAGCACTGCACCCAGACAGCACTGCACCCAGACAGCATTGTACCCAGGCAGCATTGCACCCAGACAGCACTGCACCCAGACAGCATTGCACCCAGACAGCATTGCACATCCGATTCAAGTCCACGAGGCGCGCGGGGTAGAGCGCACCGAGCTGCGCATGGCTGGCCAATACCGGCTTTCTCAGGTTTGCAAGTTTTGTCGCTGGCCTGTACTGATGCGGGGCCCAGTGATGCGAAAAGCCTGAGCTTGATGTGATCGTTGTCGAAATAAGGGAGTGGCCAGAGGTCTGAGCGACCAGCGGTCTACGGCGAGCGGCCGAGGCGCGACGCTGAGGACGAGAGGCGAGGTCCGGGTCTGTGCTCTCAGCCGAGGGTACGGGGTCACGTAAGGGCGAGAGGCGAGGTATGGATCTGTGTTCTCAGCCGAGGGCGCGGGGTCACATCACAGCGAGAGGCGAGGTATGGGTCTGTGCTCTCAGCCGAGGGTGTGGGGTCACATTAGCTAACAACAGCAGGCCCAGAAAGAGTGCGAGGTCACAACATCAGGCCCGGCCCGGCCGTCCCGATAGCTCAGTTGGTTAGATGGCCAATAGCTCTTCCCGATAGCTCAGTTGGTTAGATGGCCAATAGCTCGTCCCGATAGCTCAGTTGGTTAGATGGCCAATAGCTCGTCCCGATAGCTCAGTTGGTTAGATAGCCAATAGCTCGTCCCGATAGCTCAGTTGGTTAGATAGCCAATAGCTCGTCCCGATAGCTCAGTTGGTTAGATAGCCAATAGCTCTTCCCGATAGCTCAGTTAGTTAGATGGCCAATAGCTCGTCCCGATAGCTCAGTTGATTAGATAGCCAATATCTCGTCCCGATAGCTCAGTTGGTTTGAGCGCCTGACTTCTGACTCATTCACCCGTGGCGGAGTACGCTTGAGTCTCTGCAGGCGCCCGCTATTTGACCTTGATTGGGATGGTCCGCAGTCGAGGGCAGCGGTCCCGCTGAAGGTCAGAGCGGAGGGCGTGACGGACTGAGCCGAGTAATGCGGCGCATTATACGCTTTCGCGACAAAACTTGTGCTGATAGCCTCAAATTTTACGATCGGATGGTTGGGCACGGCTGACTCAGCAGGCTCGGCTTATCTGCCTATCATGCCAGAAATCCATCCAGCTGATAGGCCCATAATAAATTTGGTGAACGAAGTAAATCGAACCAGGTACGGATGCTATTTTCGAAGTTACCTGAAACAGAAAACTGTAGCAGTGCAGTGTACAAGGCTAGCCGGTACTTTGAATGCATGAAGGAGGAGAGACAAGCCTCATATGACCTCACGACACTTTATAGCACGCTCCGGTTGTAATGGTTCGGCTCTGTTGGGCAATGAGCAAAGCAAAAACCTGAAGTGTCCGTGTCACTGCGGCGAGCGAATAAAAGCTCGTTGGAAAAGGCTATTTCAGCTTAGGAGCACCGCTACCTAGCGCAAAGGCGCCTTCAGCACATCTTCGAAAAATGCACGGTACACGTCACACGAACCGCTCGCCTCTAATACATGAATCACTTAATCCTCACACCGCACGAAGCACTCGTCCTCTCGCTCGTCGCATCACTCGTCCTCACACCACACGAATCACGCGTCCCCACGCCACACGAGCCATTCGTCCTCACATCACGTGAGCCACTCGTCCTCACACCACACAAGCCGCTCGTCCTCACACCACACGAACCACGCGTCCTCACCACGTGAACCACTCGTCCTCACAACACACGAACATCTCGTATTTGACAGAACCAAGGGAAGCGGCTCCAAGAGGGGGCTCACATCAACCGCTCGCTGCTGGCTCTGGGCAACTGCATCAACGCGCTGGCCGTCAAGGGCGCCAAATACGTCAACTACCGCGACTCCAAGCTTACCAGGTGAGGCCGTGAAGCGCGTTAAATGCGTGGGTAACCACGCTTTTAAGCTCAGCAAGTGAGGCCGGGAAGGCTGGAAAATATATCCATAACTAGGACTTGAAAAGTACGAGGTGGGGCATGAAATGCGCCAAATGTCTCCACGGTCGCGACTGGGAGATCACCAGGTGCGACCGCGAAATGCTCCGAACACGATAAGCCGCGTCCTTCTGTGACAGTGTGTGAAGAATCGTGGGGTCGAACCTGGCTCTCGGCCTAAAGTTTTAAAGTCTCAGCGGAAGCCGGCATGGTCCACCGCGACGCAAAGTGACCTGAGATTATTAAGTGTAATTAAAACCTTAAAGATGCGATGCTGACCTAGCACAACTAGCATTACAATGAATTGTTTGAGCAAATGCTGCATACACATATGATACAAGGGACTGCCCATGCGAAGCGATCTTCGGGACCATTGCCCCTCGGATGTTGGTTCCCTACCAAATGGCCTGTGCGAGTGAAGGTGTATTCAAGGGTGACATCGGAGGCACGTGCCCGTCTTATCAAAAATGTCATGCAGTTCATCGAAAAACATCGCTAAATGCATCATTAACTACAAAACTAAATATGTGATGCTGTTAGTTTAATGCGTCATGTAAGAAACTTTGTGTGCTCGTAGCGCGCTAAAATGGACGTTTTTTTGTAACATAGTTGTGCACTCTTTGTCAGCTCCTTCATATACCTATATGCATTGCATCGGAGCTTCTCCTTCTGTCATCATTTCCGCCACCAGCAAAGCCCGATAACGCCACTTCTACCTCACTACGAAACTAGAGTTCTGCAGTGAAATGGCAGCAACTCGGGCAAAGCACACCTACAGCAATTTACATTCTGGCGCGAACAATCCACAGCCGGGTGGACGGCACCCTTGACCCGTCCTCGTTGTCGGGCTGTTTAAGTGCCAAACCTTGAACGCGGGGTGGACGTCGCCTCGGGCCGCGGCTTCTGAAAGACCTCTCCTCAATTTGCCAATCGATTCAGCTGTTCGCTGGACAGTGTCGGCCGCGGAATGGGATCGCCCTGGCACGCGAAGCACTTGATGCTATGTGGATCGCCGCCCCCGCAGCGGAGGCGAACGGCGAGCATTGAGGCTGCTGGATGTGATCCTTGTGTGCACCAAGGCAGTGAAGAGAGCATAAGGGATGTGGACACGGTCAATGGAACATTGATGCGCAAGGCACTCAAGGAGAGAGCTTGAGCATTGATTGAATGTCGATAGGGTTTTATGTGAAGTCATCGTTGTTGAGCCGATGCAAGTGAGTGTGTGAATAGTAACGTTGAGTTGCAACGATATTTTTCGACATCTGCGTGCTCTCCCTGCAAAGATAAGCGTGAAGATCGTGAACACATTGCTTCCATGAAATCTAATGCGCTGTTAGAAATGTCAAATGTCAGGTTGGTTTTCTCACGACCAATTGCTGGTTGAAATGACGTTGGCTGCATGGGCCACTGTGCATGGTAGCAGTGCCGGTGATAGCTAAAAGTGATAGTGTGTTTTCGTGTCCTTAAAACCTCTGATATAAATTGTTATAGGCGTATCCATTTTTCACAGAGCGAGATCACGTGTGGGGTTAAACGCACGCTGAGGACACCCAGCACGTGATCGGAATATTTCATTAGAACTATCAGAGCACGGGGCAGAGATTCAAATAATTGAAAAGAATCGAACCAGTCGATAGCGTGACAATGGTGTGGTAGCGTGGCATGATAGCATTATAAGAAACCAATGGGTTGCGTGCATTCGAGAGCATCAGTTGCAGTCACCGCCTATAAAAAACATACTTGGAGATCCGTAGCCGCTGTCATGGTGTGGAAACCGTACGTTATGCTCTTAGCGGCGTTGAGGACTGTTTCAAATATTATAATTTGAAGTGTTCAAGAGGAGAGAGGAAAAGGCCTGCCCAGATAACGGTGCAGCGTTTTACACGTATTGCCGCTTACCACCTTTGTCAATGGATCACCATACATACGTAACGCTCCACCATACATTACTTGCTGCGTCAACGCGCGGTCAAATAAAACGCTGCACGTGATCAATTTTGCTCTGACAAGAGGATTAGGAAAAGATGATTCGTGAAGCACTCAGTTGCATTTTCACCAAAAGAGTCCCATCATTTGTCCCATTTGTCCCATCAAGAGTCCCATCATTATCATTTGTCCCACCCAGAAGAGAAAAAAGATGACAATAGATGTTTCATCCCACAACGCGCTGTTACCTGGTTTGGACAGACGCTTCACCAAGTTTAGAAGGCCAAAAGTGTTTCGTTAAATTGTACTAAGCTGTGCAAGCTTCTCTTCAATGACCATCATTTGGAACGTCTGGAAAGAAATAATACTGTAGACGGCCGCCACGTGGAAGACACCGAGGTTTCAGGTGCACTATATTTCATGACCGCCCATCGCCAACACCGCGTCTCAACTCCTCGTGGACGCTGACAGGGAAACAACGAAACCTCGGAAATGGACAGAATAGACCTAGAACTAAACAGAGCGGAAACAGACAGAGCAGAGACTAAAATTAGCAATACAAAATAAATACCAAAATAGCATGGATTGACTAACACTAAATTATGCCTCAAGATAACCGCAAACTAAGTGACTCAACAAACGAGAAGCAAGCACTAAATCAAACTAGAAGTGCAAACGGTACACCGACTACAATACATCGGCGTACCCAGAAGATGCGCTAGTTTTTAGAAACCGTACATCTTATCATTTAGAAACATTCTCCAATCGATTGAGCATGATAAAACAATCCAGTGGTGAAAAACGCGTTGGGAAGTGAAGGGTTTGCACTGATCGCAGCAATAGGTTCTGATAACTGGGTTATTTGTCAGCGATTAATTTTTATTTTCTAAAAATCATTGACGTTTAACCAGACCAAAGGTCACCATATTGGCAATTCCCTCCCGGAATCCTGTATGGGAGATGGAGGGGCGAAGGTTTCGTGCCTATTGGAGAAATTGGTTACGAGATCCGAGATGTCCGCTTTTCCCCTTGCGTTTTAAGGTGTTTTACCTCAGGTTAGGTCACTTTATTCCAGCCCACGTTCACTTTGTTATGCTGAATCAATCAATTGGTGAGGGTTTCAAAATTATTTAAATAAAGTGGATTAACATTCTCTGAGGACAGGCATGTCTCTGGGCATGCCGGATTGTAGTCCCTGTCGCTTATCCCGGTCGTGTTAACTGCGCTGGTATACTGTCCCGCCAAACACTGCTACAACCTAGCGGCGCAGTATACCTACCAGCCAGAGACGACGCGCCAGCATTCGCATGTCCTTGGGTGGCCCACGCGCCCTCTTGGTGGGAAGTTTTAGCGACGGCGCCATGCCGGTACCGCTGCTCGGCCGCGTCTTTAGATAACTGATAGGTGCACGTAGCTCCCAAATTTACTGGCATCTAAGAGCCCTCATTGCAAGCCAACGAAAAGTAACCCCTGAGAGATGGATCAAGGCCGCGGATCTCTCACATGCCTTGAAACCTCGACCACTTGCTATGCTTCGCTTGACCTCTGTCGCATGTTATACCTCATGAGACTGATGGCGTCGGGCTGAAGGTCTTAGGAATCTGAAACACACTAAGAGTAAGAGTCAACACGTGCTATGTTCGAAATTGGACTCCTGCGCCGGAAAAAAAGAACGCATACTCGCAACTTTGCATACACATAAAAACGGTTGGTCTCCCATCTCACTGCACTCTGTTGACGAGGCTGATCAGAAGTTCCATCAAGCGAATTAGGCCGAAGGCACGTCATTGATCTTCCCCAGCTGTGCAAGCTTCTCTGCAATGACCATCACGTTAGAAAACGCCATCCAGGCTGTGTTTACTGCGCTGGTATACTGTCCCGCTGCGCATCCCAGGGCTTGCGGCACAGTATACCTACCTGACAGACTAATCGCTCTATCGACTTATCTTTTCACATGCCGCCAGCGCTGTAGTAAAATGTCGAGTCTTTGAGGCGACCTCGTCGTGTGCTTTAGTGAGAGGCTTTGGCGTCGGCGTCTTGCCAGTGCCGTTCCTGGGATATGTTTTTAGATGCATGCTCGATGTACGCAACTTGCAAGGTCACGGAGGTATCTGTGCCCTCATGCAAAAACAGGAAAAGAGTCCCTACCGGGCTGGTCCAGTACGGATCTCTCACATGCCATAAAACCTCGATTACTCACTACACCTCGTTTGTCCTTTGCTGCTGTAGATTCCGCAACTCAAGTCTTTTGAATTATACCATTTAGAGTAGCTGTGCAACGGCGTGAATAGGGACTTCAGCTGACGTCTGCTTTTCCAGGCTGCTGAAGGACGCCCTCTCGGGCAACTGTCGGACTGTCATGATCGCGCACATCAGTCCAGCCATGGCGCAGAGAGACGAGACGTTCAACACGCTGGTATACGCCGACAGAGCCAAGAACATCTCCAACAAGGTCGTGTCTAACCGAGCTTGTTTTGAAAGCAGCCCCTTCGCCGCAGCATGCTGGTTGCATTGGGTGTTGGGTCATACGGTGTCTGGCGCTGTGCCAAGACGCAAATCGTGAGGGAAATTAGAAATTTATCCGGGCAATGCGTTAGCGGTCTGAGAATATTTGGATTGCAGACAGGCACCAGTGACTGCGTCTATTAGTTGAATGCAAACGTTATGGCGCTCTGTGTTTTTGCACCCGTGGCGCCAAATGTCCGGGGCGATGGTATGCAAACGTATTTTTGCGTCGTTTTTTTCCTTGTAATTCACAAAAGGTAGTATCCAGGGGCGGCGCCACCAGGAGGGCAAGGGAAAGCCGCTCCCACGCGTTGTGCCAAAGGGCACATAGATCTTTTTGGCCCACTTGAAATTGCCGGAGGTCCCATCATGCAGACTCGTCGTCGTCCTTGGGACTTGACGACACACTGAGGCAACATGGCGTCGCCAGCCTCTCACCCTGGCAGAAAGGGCGGGCACTGCAGAGAATGAAACCCCGTACCTTTGGTTTCCTAAACCATCATGCAGACATGGAGCCACGCATGGGAAATATTTGAAAACAATATTGCATCAAATTAAAGGAACATTAGGAAATATTGCATCAAAATAAAAGGAACCGCAGGGACATAGAGAGCTACAGCACCGCCCTAAATTGCCAACATCAGGCCATAATGGTTGACAGGTGGCTCCAAATGATCCAAAGGCAGCACATCAAATGCGTAGAAGGCCTCGTGAAAACACAGGAAGTCACGGCCGTCCAAGAGAAGGCCAAGATGGGAGATAGACTGACCACGAGGAGGTCTTTCCAGTCACATATACGCGATCAAGAGGCCCTTATGGAAAAGCGGGCGAAGTCTAAAGGACAAAATATAGATACGGTGGGGGATAGGAGGCCACAGATCTGCTTACGAAGCAGAAAGATCTGCCTACGAGGCTTTTAGATGTGCTCACTCCTCTTGAAAAAGTTGGTGGCGCCGTTCCCGGTTGTTTGTTTCTAAATTTTATCAAAGTGGTTGGGATTGTCCCCCTTCGCGTCCCAATCCACCGGCGTTAGTTTTGCACACCTCTGCGATGAAGAAAACAAAGCAGGAGTGCGGAATACCACATATTTTCCGCCAGCATCTTGACCTTTACCGTGACCTTGACCGCTAACCTTCACCACTGACCGTCACTGCTTAGCCCTACCGTGATCGCAGCGGCCGACGTCAGGCGGGTCACAGCTGCGTCAGGCCTTATTGTCGCTCTGACCCATGGCGATCAGTGACTCTGGCTAATCGCTCCCCGTGCGCAGGTCAAGAGGAACGTGCTCGACGTTACGCATCAGGTGTCGCAGTACCAGAACATTATCGCCGAACTGAAAAACGAGATCGGCAGGCTGAAGGGGAAGATGGACTCTCGCGTAAGTGTGCCAGCGTCGTCCATCCGGCTTTCTATTCGTGGCTCTGTGGCTACACCTTAGGGAGAAACGAGCGTATAGTCGTCGTTCATGGCCAAACGGGGCATGGTTGTACATCCTGTCGATGCTGCCAGCAGGTGCCGTACGTGTTGACATGTCCTTGATTCAGTTCCCATCGTGGTAGACATGGACTGATGCCGTGGATCGGCGATTGAATGGTCCGAGCGATTGCAAATCTCGCTGCAAGTTTTGAAATAAGTGGACTGCTAAAGGAAGAAATGAACAGCTTACCAAAAACGAGAACAAGTTTTCATCTGCCCTTATACGGTTGTTTTCATCAAGCATTCCACTGAGTGCTAAATGTCATGCCCAATTCAGGAAATACAAACGGCTGATATTTCCATTTTAGAGCTGGGGACACTTCAATCAGCCATATGTATCTTTTATGTCTTTTATTACCTATAGCACGACCCTACAGCGAGTCGCTCAACCCGCACCCTGCTGATACCAGCGCAATTTTATCGAGCTCCCGCCTGTACCGTGGTATGACCTGAGCACAATCCCCAATGGCGCAGTCACACAAGTCTCTGCATGACATTCCACTGAGGTATTGTTATTGCAACAGAACTGTTGCGGTCGGCCTCGTGCTCTGAATGCGCTATTAATACCGAGAGATATTTGCAGCCGCTCAATGTAGGGCTAGTGACGAGTGGTGGCTGCACCGTATCGGAACTCGGTGTGGAAAAACATCATCGATTCCGCCCAAGTGTTTGTTTTTTCGCCGTGTGCCCGCAGCGAAATAACCAGAGGCAAAAGTTTTGAACTAATGACTGAAGACCTATTTGTGCACTGCAGAGCGTGAGGATAATGACAGGCACTCAAACCTGATGCGGGAAAAACAGCGGGCTAGAATTTATTCCGCGCGCTGCGTACCATTCTTCGCTGCTCGTGGCTGTGACGAATGTTTGGTGGGTGTCATGGCAGGGAAGTTTCGACCAGAATTGAATTGTGCATCGCATTGACTGTGAGACAGGGATTCGACTTCGATAGATCCTTCCCTGGCGATTCTCCATAGCATGAGCGAATGCCGAATAGAAGCCACGGATAGTGGACATAGCTTCCAGAATTCATTATGTAATGGCAAGTACTTGCAAGGTGTGTTGCTACTACCGGTGCTACATTTCCTTTTTCGTCTGTCGGTGCGGAAATCAAGTGATTCTACGATGCACGGGCAACTGTGCGTAAGCAATTCCGATCAGCTTCTCATATTTATACTTGCGCCTTATTGGGGCATGCTGCTGCGTCCGTGTGATGTGATGGCTCAGGCTCCAAGCGTCAAAAGCATTAAAACGTTGACGACACCGTGCCAGGGAGAGGTTTAAATATGCGGCTCCAGCTTAAATGACATAGCTGGCATGGCCAGGATGTGGCAGCTGGCACACAACGCACGCTAGACAGTACAGCAACATGGCTCACAGCTAGGAAAGCGTTCCGGTGTTGTCAAGCAGCCAATTAGATAGTTGAAGTGTTTCCCCCGCGACGACTTGTCGTCGAAATAACAAAACAAAATAAAAATAATGAAACAGAAAGTAGAAGAAATAAAGAAGAAAGTCAAAGAAAAAAAGGAAGAAAAAGTTCTGAGCAACAAAGCACAGATGCATTTCATGACGAGGCTCTCTGATTGGTCAATTCGTTCGTCCTGATTGGTCGGTTTGCCCTGAGCATGTCACACATCCCAATGCTGCCCGTGACGTCACAAGCCGGCACACGCCAGCAGCGGGGCCTGCCCGCTGCTGCTGACGCCCGGAGCGCAGCGGGAACTCCCCCGTGACGTCACAAGCCAGCACACGCCAGCAGCGGGGCCCGTCGGCCGATGCTGACGCCTGGAGCGCGGCGGTGACGGCGTATTCCGCTCGCGCAGGAGAACGAGCCGGACCTGACCTCGCAGCCGCGCAGCCACGAGCAGGAGGAGGAGCTACGCCGCCTGCGCAACGAGCTGGTTGAGTCGTTCAAGGAGCAGATGGAGCACAGGTGGGCACCGGCTGCCGGCGGCGGCGGAGTCGGCTGGAATGTCCATGGCAGACCTCCCAGCCGGTACATGGATAATAAAGGGTAGCTGATGGCTTGGAGCCAGTTAATAAAAATCATGAATGGCCAAGGGGTAATCTATAACTGACATTACATTACAGATAGGTAATTTAATTACTTTCGGCTTTATTCACAGCATGACAATAATTATTCAGTCACCAACCATTATTTACTTATTCATTAATTTCTTCATAATCAGCTACCTATCAACGCATATTTACAACTATTATCTATAATCGAAAATTATTGATGACTTGGTCGCCAGGTGATTGCATCGCTCGCAAAATTTCCATTACCGCTACTTGTTGGTGCCGACTGGAATGTTGCATGGAGGCGTACAACCGCAGGTGTAACTTTTTGTCCTGCCTCTGACCGGTAAACTTCCCGACCAGGAAACAGCTCATGGAGGTTGACAACGTGCTGCTGTGGTTGGCGATGGAGTTCGAGAAGCAGACGACGCTGATCAACGAGCTGGAGCAGGTCCGGGCCATCCACGGCGGCAAGCGGTCCGGAGCAGGGGAGGAGAAGGCGACACGGGACCAGCACGAGACCGAGCACCGCCAGAAAGGTCGGCTGACTCAGCGTCGCCCTCATCGGTGGGCCAGTGATACCTCGGTGGTGTCTGGCAGAGGGCGTGGGTTCAAGACGCGACAGAGTCAGATTTTTGTCACTTGTGTCGGTGATCATCTGCGTGCGGCGTTACCACAAGCGCTTGCGCAAGCTGACATTAACCACACGTTCAATATGTTAAGGGGTACAATTTCGCAAAATGAGCCGGGGGAAGGGGCCTGAACAGACAAAAATGACAAAAATTACCTCGAAAGTACGCCCACAAATGGGTTAGTCCATAGGTATGGCCCACTGTCTTCCGCCTCCCAAGAAAAACGACGTTCACCGTCGTCGCCGTCGTCAGGGCGATTCACGCCATTCAAACGACTGATCCGACGTGTGGAATGTGGGCAGGCTCCGATGACGAAATGTCGGAGGAGATGGCGCAGGCCTGGGACGACCTGCACTACATCCAGGAGGAAGAGCAAAGGTCAGCCGATCACAGACGGATGGCAGAGGCCTGTAGGCGCCGCGCTTTGAAGGCAAAACTGGCTCTGATGACCGAGCTGACAGATTGCCCCGCAAGGCGATAAAACTGGCATGGAGGCATAAAGCGGTCACCGAGCTTTTGACTTCTGGACTGAGTACCTTTGATGACAATGGCGTATCGCTAAGCGTGCAGTCTGCGCAGAGGACCTCGATGACGGCGCGCAATTATTCCCAGGTACCAGGGCATCCGCAAGAATGTGGAAGCCGACCTCGCGGAGTTGAAAGGAAAGGCGAGCAGAATGGAAGAGGTGGGTGTGCCGCCACAATGGTCGCAATATTGTTTCCGAGGCAGCTTTCAATCAATTTTTACCCTCTTCATAGCACAAGGTACCCATTGGCTGTCTGACATTTTTACGCCGCTTGAAAGCACTCGTCAAATAGAGGCTTGTACAATTATTGCCGCACAGATAATGAACAGCAGCATCCCGTCGATCCACGTCATCAAAGCCGTCATTCCTCCCGCCCCCTCCCTTCCCAGACGTCTCAGCGGCAGCTGTAGGCTCCCGACACCGTCGCCCCCTCCCCTCCCCTGCACCTGCTCCAGCCCGGTGCCGGCGGGCGGGCGGCGGGCGATGAATTCGGCAGGCCGCGCCCGCCATGGTTGAACTACACAGTATTGACCGGGCGGGTCTAGGCCAGGTAACGGTCTCCACGCGACAGCGGCACACGGCAGCGATTTAACGGCGCCCGCAGCCATTAACTGATTGTTATGGTCGCCGTCGCTCGGGACGCTTTCGTCGCTTGGAGCTGAGGGCTGGACTCGGCTGGGGATGGGGCGCCTCCTGGAAGGTCGCATGGGGCTCCGGGGGACTCGAGCTGAGCGGTCGCCTCGAGCCTAAGGGCTCGCCTAGAGCTGGAGGCCACCTCGAGATGGGGAGGATGTCACCTAGAATGGGGGAGGGTCACCTTGAGCTGGGGGAAGGGTCACCTCTAGCTAGGGGAGGGGACGCTTTGAACTGAGGGTCACCGCGAGGTGAGGGCTCGCCTTGAGCTGGGGGTCACTTCGAGCTGTGGAGATGTCACCTTGAGTTGAGAGGTCACCTGGAGCTGGGCGCCCAACTCGAGCTCGGGGTATCACCTCGAGCTGGGGGAGGGGGGAGGGGCACAGTGAGGTACAGATCAGGGATCTTCCTGGGGTGTGAAGGCAAGACGTGAAGGCATGTGAATGTGAAGGCAATCTCTGGCTGAGATACTATCTCGAGCTGAGATGCTATCTCCAGCTGAGATACTATCTTGAGCTGAAATACTATCTCGAGTTGAGATACTATCTCGAGCTTACATTACCAAGTCTAGCTGCGGGTTTTCTCGGGCTCTGGCTGAGCTATATGGCAGCGCAGCACGCATATCTGTCATTTCCGGCTCACAACGAGCGGATCGGCGCCATATGGGCGCTGAGCCGGACTTGTGAGTCGTGGAACCGAGCCGACTTAGACTCGGACCCTGTGACGTGACTCCAGTGGATTCGGGGCTCAGACTCAGATTCAAGACAACAGGACTCGGACTCGGACGTGGACTCTCGAGCTCAGACCCACGTCTGCTCCGCGCTCGTTTGTTTTGCGTGCGTGCGCTAGCGCTGACCCGGAACCGCAGGGTCTGTCGCACGCTCGTCTGCTTCGTGGTCAGCAGACTGGTGCTGGACTCAGCTCTCCGTGGCCTTTACAGGCGCTGCCGGAGAAGATATCCACTGACGAGCAGCGGGAGCTGCTGGAGCTGCTGCTCAAAACCCACGAGCTGGAAATAGAGAACGTAAGTAGCCGTGGATCAGCCCAGCTCTGGTGACATTACTTCACAATGTGCAGTAACGCCACCGGATGTGAAGTAAAGCCACGAGCTGGAAATAGAGAACGTGAGTAGCTGTGGATCAGCCCAGCTCCGGTGGCATTACCATCAGTGTGAAGTGACGCCACCGGATGTGAAGTAAAGCCACGAGCTGGAAATAGAGAACGTGAGTAGCTGTGAATCAGCCCAGCTCCGGTGACATGACCTATCAGTGTGAAGTGACGCCACCGGATGTGAAGTGAAGCCACGAGCTGGAAATAGAGAACGTGAGTAGCTGTGGATCAGCCCAGCTCCGGTGGCATTACCTATCAGTGTGAAGTAACGCCACCGGATGTGAAGTGATGCCACGATTTGGAAATAGCGAATGCGGGTGGCACTGAACCGGCCCAGCTTCGGTGTCGCCACTTTACAGGTCTGGTCTGGTGGTCTTTACAGGTCACAGGTCTGGTCTGGTGGTCTTTACAGGTCACAGGTCTGGCGACTGAGACTGTGAGTCGCAGAGGGCCAAAATATGCCCACACTTGACACAACCGAAATAGAACAGTTACAGGTTAGGGTGCAAATGGCAAATTATTACTCGGAACCCGGTGGCTAACGAAAGTCTAAAAGTTGAGCATCAGGATTATCAGCGTAAAATTGTCGCGGGATACTCCAAACCTTTTCATGGGATGGATTTGCGGGCACCACCGTCCAAGCTTATTATTGCCTGTTGCGTGAGCCCTAACCCCGCCAATTGATCGTCAAGGCGAAGCCTTAACGTGCCACAATGCTCGGCAGGGTCTGACCTGCCCTCTGACACCACATGACCTTAGCTGCGGATGGCCGCTGGCCATGTTGGTCAGAGGCAAGCAGTTTGCTTGTTTGCTCACCGGCAATGTTTTGGCTCGTGTCCAATGCAACACGAAACTAATTAAACAAAGAAAAACTGAAAATTGCTCCCAGAGCGACGGCGTGCCCAACTGTTTGAGCGGTTGTCATGGAACTTGGCGCAACTGGGCTGGCGCGTGGCGTACCGCTATACGCCACACATTATGAATAATATACGGTGCACGGTCGTGTGTACTTACACCTTGCAATCTGTGAGTGTAACAGTGCTGTGACCGCGCAGCACAGTTCAAAGCCACCGGGTAGGTAACAATGGCAGCAACTGGCAACAATGGCAGCAACTGGTACCAGGCAGAGGTCCTTGTTGACTTGACACGGTCAGGATCTTACTGCGGTCTAAGCCCAAGTTTTATAGGATTAGAATTATATGAAGACCACTAAACACCATTCACACCCTGCGGACTGGCCGCAAAATCCGCTGCAGATGTTGTAGTCAGCTGTTCACGCTGGAGGTACCCCTTCTAGCTCTTCTTACCCGCGCTTTGCGGACCTGCGGACTCAACTTCGGCACCTCTGGTCCACAACAGCGATTGCAGAACTTGCAGCGGATTCCGCGGCCCGTTCGCATGGTGTAAACAGGCCTTGACTCACCATCCGCGCAATCTTTTGGTGGCAGGTCTAAAAATAAAACACTGCAGCTGCGCCTTGCGGGATCCGACTGGTGGATGCGCTGTGCTGGCTTTTATTGTGCACACGCCTCAGTGAAAACAAGGAGCCGCTTGCGTGAAACAATGCAGCAACGTCCCCGCTGCTAAACTAAGCGGCAACGGCGGCCCGGTAAGTGAATCGGCAACAGCATTTTGACCCTGTGTGTCATAGTACATTTTCATCGGCGTCCGTCGACGTGACTGATTCAGCGAATACATCCGACGCTAGTGTCCTGCATCCCACGCATACGCTGCGGCGGGCTGTGAACTGGCCAACAATGCCCGACACGTGCGAGTTTTCACGAAGCGCCTTCGCCGTAGCCGACGCTGGTGCGCCAAGTCATGGCATAACACCCAAAACTAAAAACTGGTGTTGGTCCGGGAGATGCCGTGCTGTCCCTGACAGCGTTCTGAGCTTTGAAAGTCAGCGTCTGTCATGCTTGCAGTGTTTCTGCGACGGTCGTTTCGACAGGCTGGCTCCCTCCCATGCAGTGCAGTCGGCAGCAACGTGCAGGAGGTCCTGCGGCTCCATTGATCGAGCGTGCAGCATTTTGCAGCAACCCAATCTCTGTCATTTTGCTAATGCTACTCGAGCGATGAATCATGCAAAGAATAAAGGCCACGAGTTCTGACTTTCTGGCTTCGTACAATAATTTTTATGTGATTTGCGAAGACCATCCTGAAAACTTTTTGAAAATACTCAAGCTTAGCATTGTTTAAACATTTTCTAAATTGTAGTATTCTATGATTTAACTGCAATCATTTATTTACACGAACAGCGTACCATTAACAATTTACAACGCATGTCATTCTCGCATAACTCGACGTATATTAGCCAAGGAGGCATTTTTGCCCCTGTTAGTGAGCATTGGCCTTTACCGTGCACTCCTTCTTAAACTACGTCTTAAAACAAGGAAGGTATTGTGCTGGCCAGACAAGTAAGTTGCATGCCATTATTTTTACTTGTCTTCGTTGTAAAATGTTTTCAAGGTACGAAAAATTGTGAAGTAACAAAGTACATTGCAGCCTAGTTAAGTCGCGTGTGGATAAAGGGGCTCTTGAAGTTTATTAATAACACGTTTTCGCTTGAAAGTACTTGAGCTCGTGCATGTGGGGAGCATGTCAACAGCTTTGGCGTATGAGCCTGTCAGAAAATGATGGAGTCAGGTTTGGCAGGATGCAGTTCTCCCTCCAGTATACACAACGTCACCCATGGACCAAGAAAACATACCGTGAGGAGAAAACATACCGTGTGGAGAAAACCTACCGTGAGGAGAAAACATACCGTGAATAGAAAACATACCGTGAGGAGAAAACATACCGTGTGAAGAGCGCATACTGTGATGAGAAAGCATACCGTGTCAAGAAAGCATACCGTGAGGAGAAAGCATACCGTGAGGAGAAAACATGCCGTGTGGAGAAAACATACCGTGTGGAGAAAGCATACCGTGTGGAGAAAACATACTGTGTGGAGAAAGCACACCGTGTGGAGAAAACATACCGTGAGGAGAAAACATACCGTGAGGAGAAAACACCGTGTGGAGAAAACATACAGTGAGGAGAAAACATACCGTGAGGAGGAAGCATACCGCGAGGAGAAAGCATACCGTGAGGAGAAAACACACCGTGAGGAGAAAGCATACCGTGAGGAGAAAGCATACCGCGAGGAGAAAACAAACCGTGTGGAGAAAACATACCGTGTGGAGAAAGCATACCGTGTGGAGAAAGCATACCGTGTGGAGAAAGCATACCGTGTGGAGAAAGCATACCGTGAGGAGAAAACATGCCGTGTGGAGAAAGCATACCGTGTGGAGAAAGCATACCGTGAGGAGAAAACATGCCGTGTGGAGAAAGCATACCGTGTGGAGAAAACATACCGTGTGGAGAAAGCATATCGTGCGGAGAAAGCATACCGTGTGGAGAAAGCATATCGTGAGGAGAAAGCATACCGTGAGGAGGAAGCATACCGTGTGGAGAAAACATACCGTGAGGAGAAAACATACCGTGAGGAGGAAGCATACCGTGAGGAGAAAGCATACCGTGAGGAGAAAACACACCGTGAGGAGAAAGCATACCGTGAGGAGAAAACAAACCGTGTGGAGAAAACATACCGTGTGGAGAAAGCATATCGTGTGGAGAAAGCATACCGTGAGGAGAAAGCATACCGTGAGGAGAAAGCATACCGTGAGGAGAAAGCATACCGTGAGGAGAAAACACACCGTGAGGAGAAAGCATACCGTGAGGAGAAAGCATACCGCGAGGAGAAAACAAACCGTGTGGAGAAAGCATACCGTGTGGAGAAAGCATATCGTGTGGAGAAAGCATACCGTGAGGAGAAAGCATATCGTGAGGAGAAAGCATACCGTGAGGAGAAAGCATACCGTGAGGAGAAAACACACCGTGAGGAGAAAGCATACCGTGAGGAGAAAGCATACCGCGAGGAGAAAACAAACCGTGTGGAGAAAGCATACCGTGTGGAGAAAGCATATCGTGTGGAGAAAGCATACCGTGAGGAGAAAGCGTACCGTGAGGAGAAAACATACCGTGAGGAGAAAACACACCGTGTGGAGAAAACATACCGTGAGGAGAAAACATACCGTGAGGAGGAAGCATACCGTGAGGAGAAAGCATACCGTGAGGAGAAAACACACCGTGAGGAGAAAGCATACCGTGAGGAGAAAGCATACCGCGAGGAGAAAACAAACCGTGTGGAGAAAACATACCGTGTGGAGAAAGCATATCGTGTGGAGAAAGCATACCGTGAGGAGAAAGCATACCGTGTGACGGTCATTTGCCCATGGCTATAATTGGCATGCGGTGTTAAATGGCCGTTACCTGTGTAAGTAGATTAACACCACTTAACTTCAAGCACGAGGAGTCCTGTGGTCGTGAACACCAGGCTTTTGATCAGCTCCTTAAGGGCACGACCTCCGTGCTGATGGTCTCACCCGTGTCATGTTAGTGGTGTCCACATGTGGAAGGGGTCATCGATCCACTCCTCATTTCCACATGACATGAGCCATCAGTCCGTTGATGGTCGCTGCGGTGGGCACGGATGATCAACTGAGGAACTTTGCCCTCAGAAAAAGGTCCGGAAGCACTGTTTTCAGCATTGCAACGGAATAACAGTTCAGTTCTCGTATCAACAGGACATGGGCTTTCAGAGCAGCTGTTGCATCCACAGAGTCACGGATCACTAGTCCAGTGGTCACGTCCTTAAGGAGCAGGTCAAACGGGTCACAAGGATGTAGGAGCTTTCCCCAAAATTGGGTGGGCCAAGCCCCTTTTCAGGTCAATAATTTCCACACAGCGCATGGAGTCGCCTTTAAATTCCCACGAAAGGAAGTGAAACGCGGCCCCTGTACCCTGTTTTCCCGCTAGTCAGCGTTTCTCGGGAAAGAAAAGTACTTTATGAAAACATAATTCCTGCTCTTT